AGGTCATATCATTGTTACAGCTTTAAAAAATGCTGAAGAGCATGGGCCTACTGTCAACCTGTATTCAATTACTGTGACTTTTGGCCTTCCTGTAATTTTGGTGTAGGACTTCACCCTTCTATACAGTCAGAGCTTGCTTCATAAAAACCGGATAGGGTTTGTATGTAACACTCTCTACAAAGCTTCATCTCTTCCTTCAGTGCTCCAAAATGCTCATTGCCTTCATGCTGCCTGTTACTACCCAGGAACTCTCATTTGGCAAATCTCCAGGATGTAAACTCTTCTCTGCAGGATTGCATGCATCAGTGTCTTTAAACTCCCTCCCACCAAACCAACCTTATTTTTCAAGAAACAGCTTTCTGCTAGGGAACCAACTAAAAAATCCATCCTAATGTTACCAGGTTACATATTTGTAGCCTGACAGGGACTTCCTAAAAATGTAATGCCTTTATCCTAAAATAAAAATAAAGGAAGTTCCATGGTAGGGATTTCCAGAACTGGGACAAGTTAACAAAAGGAAATGTTTTGAGTTCGATGGGTCTTTAATGATCCACAGATAGTATCCCTTGAGAAGTCACCTCTTCTCTTTATATGAAGGGGACTCAGTCAGCAGGATGATGCTCTCTTTGAAGGAACCACGCTTGACTGTGTGATATATTTCTTTTCAAAAATACAAGAATCACTGGCACGGAGTCTCATAAGTGTGTGTAGGGGAGGTATCTATTTACTTTGTTTAATGAATAAATTGCTATCTCTGCTTAAAAATCATTGTGGACTTAAAAATTTTTTTGTTTATTTTTGAATAGGTAACACACTCATGTACACAAAATCAAAAGGCACAAAAGAGCATATCATGAAAAGTATGTTTCTCTCCTTTCTCAGTGATTCTGTTTTCCTTCCCAGAGGCAACCACTATTTCCAATTTCTTAAATTTCCTCCCATGGACATTCTATATATAAAAGTGTATATGTGTATTTATAAATATATATAATTTTTCTTTTTTTACACAGATGGTAGTGT